GCAGCCTGCTGTTGATGAGAGAAACAGAGCTTGGCATCTGAGCTCACACCAGTTCTTCCAGCACTGATTAAAAAAGCAGGTGCAATTAAGGTGCCCACCTGGAAAACAGGGACTTAGTCACAGAAGTGAGAGCGCTCATTAACTTGTGCACACGATGAGTGTTCTCAGGGTGGCTACACCAAGTGAGGCAGGAACTTCCCAACGCCTGCAAAATAGTCCCCATCAGAACCCGGGTGTGGGAAGGTCTCACAGAACTTAACAGCAAGAAAGCAAGAAACCAGTAGCTAAAAATGGTGGCCACAAGATCCCTAGGAACCTTGGAAGCTTTCAGGAAAAAGTTATTACTTATTCCTTTATTAAGTGTATACCTTTATTCCTCTTTACCTCTTAAAGGACATGCTCTTAAGCACCTCCAAATGGAAATGCACAAAGCCGCCACTAGCTTGAACAGTTTAAACTTCCCTTGCAGAAGTGCGTATCGTTTCCTTGAAAATGCCAAACCTGCCAAGGCTCTTACGTATCATAGATAAAAACAGAACTTCTGGCACGAGATTCTGTGTTTTAAAGCAAACGGATGACTGGCACGAATTACATGTATCAGATGCACTCTTCTGGAAGTTTAAACACATCAAATTGCAAACGTAACTTGGGGGGCTCCTAGAACAGAGACTGGAAACACAGATGGAGTGGGACCAGTGTGGCCGGCTGGCCGGTTCCCACCATACAGTGGAGACTCAGAAGCGACGGCACAGCCACAAGGGCGGATGAACCAGCTGGCTTCCCCAGGATGCTCTGCAGCACACAACAGAAGCAGGTCTTTCTTTCACTAGGAAATCACAGAGCTAGGCATGTGCTGTAGGCGGAAGTGAATCCAATCTTCACTAAGGTGTGCTGACAATCAGATTCAAAAATAACACCTCTGGCTAAATTATAACAATGGCTACCATGGATGTCATTTACTAGCAGTTTATCACCAGATGCTTTTAATATATTACCTAATTTAATTCCCATAGCCCTTGGGGAGGCTATTCTTATCACCATTTTACTGAAAAGGACACCAGGCTCAGAGAAAGTAACTTGCCTCAGGTTGCATCACATAGCATTGACAGGTCTACAATTACAGCACAAAGCTATAGGACACCTAAGTGCCTGCTTCTAGATGTTATGCTAATTACGCTGCTAAATATCACGAAAGCAGAACATATTCAAAAGCGTGCAGGTTGAGCAGCACCCGCGCTGCTGCTGACTACCGTGGTGTGCTGCAAAGAGAAAGGAGGAGGGTGGAATTCCTTGCAGTGAACTCTGACTGCTGCAGAAGAAGAAGGGCATGTGCCTCAGTGCTCTCTGGCAGGAGCCCAGCCAGCTCTCCCGCTGAGAAGGAGTGGAATGAAGGTGGAGATGGACAGGGGACTGGGCCTTCGTAGTAGCATGGGCACCCTGACCTTTGTCTTTGCCACTGCCAGAGCAGAGTTACTAGAAGGCGGCCACATCAGTCTCTTGCCTGGGGGAGTCCATGCTCTTGATGGCCCTTCACCAGGATGACAGAAGCCCAAGGAAAAGGCTGGGCTCCTTCACCACGGCACTTGAGGCAGGGGAACGAAAGGCGTTGGAATAACATTGCATTAGCCTTCCTGGTTCCTGGGACACAATACATGGCACTAGCTTGGGGATAGCTTGGGTCAAGGTTCCTGGGATTCAGGCTGTGGTCACCTGGCTCCAGGACAGGAACATCATGGTGGAAGGGTGTGGCGGAGCAGGTGGCCAGGAAGCAGAGCAGGGGAACAGTGCCAGAGCACGGACCAGATGTCAAAAAAGTCATGTCCCCATGACCCACCCAGTCACCCCCAGAAATGTCCTTTACTAATCCCCCGGGTGGCTCCCAAGCCAATCAGGTTGACAGTCCACCTTAACTGTCAGAAACACAGTTTACTCCAGGAAAATTACCAACATATACTTCTTAATGCTTACATTAAAATAATATATGTGTGTAGCTTCTTATAGATTTAGACTTCAGAATAATCATAAAGCAGTGAGACCCAAGTATTAAGGAAAAAAAAACCCCAATAAGCATAAAATCTCAAATTATACTCCACTGATTTGGAGTAAATAGTTCAAAAATCATGTTGTAAAATGTTCAAGTTGGAAACTGGAGCAGCTTGTATTAAATTATAAAGTCTGTACAACTCCTATGCTGAAACATACTTTCCTTTTATGTTTTTTCCCTGTTTTCTGTTTTGTTTTGCTTGTTTTTTGAGCTGTAGTCTCACTGTGCTGCCTGGGCTGGTCTTGAACTCTTGGTCTCAAGCGATCCTCCCACCTCAGCCTGTGTTTTTACAATGAGTGAAAAGTTTGTAGACTTATTTCAAATATTAAAGTTATGTTTTACGTGAATAAAATATGGTCACAAGTAAGCATCAATTAACTGTCTGCTGCTGAAGATGCTCATTAGGACCCTGTGGCTATTGATTATTAGGCAACACGGAAGAGGCTCTAATTAGCTCCTTGCCTGCCATGCAGTGCTAGTGAGGGGGAGTCCCAAATGTCATTTTACTCAAATCCCAGACTGAGTCTGAGTCCATCACCCAGCAAATGTATGACTTAGTCACAAGGGGGCACGTGAGAAGACATGGAGGGGGTGGATGGCTGCGCATGTCACAGAGGTGGAGAGGCCACTCCAGGGTGTTTTGTATTGTCTTCACGAACAAAGGGTAACAGAAATGTGACAACATTTCTGATTGCAGATTCTCACTCCTGTAGTCCCAGCTACAGGGAGGCTGAGGCAGGAGGAATGCATGACCTTAGGAGTTTGGTACTAGCGCGGGCAACATGGCAAGACTTGTCTCTTCACAAACGAAAACCAGCCAATCAAACAAACAAAAGAAATGAGACAATATTGTTCAAAAGATAGAAAAACCTAGAACTTTTATTTTAACTTTGAAGATCTACAATCTTATCATCTATATCTATGTATCATCTGTATCTATCTTTACCTACTTACCACCTATATGTATGTATCATCTATATCTTATATTTTTATGCCTACTTTTATCCATGTATGTCATCTGTATTTATCATCTATATTTTTCTATCATCTGTATTTATCTTCATCTATCTACTTATCATCTATCATCTCTACTTGTTTTATCTATATACCTACTTTTCATCTATGCATCTATTTCTAGTTTATCTTTCTACTTGTCTGTCTATCTATCTACATATCTATCTATCTATTTATCTATCTATCTACCTACCTACCTACCTACCTATCTGTCAATTCCAAATCTGACACATGAATGCTTTGGCCAAACCAAACCTCATGAAATAGTTCTCTACCAATTCCTTAAACATGCCATAAAGTGGATCTGTGCAGCACACACTCAGCTCTAGGTTTAATCACTGGTGGGCTTATGTGCAGAAAAGAAGGGTGGGGAGGAAGACGCATGTTTGAGTCTAACAAATGAACGAACACTTGTGAGACTGAGCTAAGCTCCTGAGCCTCTGAGCACTGTAGCATCAGAAGGAGGCACAGCGTGGAGGTTCAGCATGCAGATCCCCAGCCCCAGCTCCTGGATGACTTTGATTCTGCGGCTGTGCAACTGGACTGAGCTCCGGAAAAAAAGGGAGAGCTCTGTGCAGCCGAGTGACTACAGTTAGTAACAATGTTTATGTTCCTGAAGATTGCTAAGTAGATTTTGAATGTTCTCTCTACACACAAAAAGATAAATATATGGAATAATGCATGTTTCTTTGGGTCAATTTAGGCATTCCAGAATGAACACATAGTTCAAAACATGTTATACATGACAAATACATACATACATATATATATGTATATATTTACATTTATTTTCAATGAAAAGAAATATGTAAAAAAATTTGAAAAATACCAAACAGCACCTAGTGAGAGTTTAAGCCACCAGTGAGAGGTGAGCTCACTACCTCTTGGCACACAAGGTCAGAAGGACGAATCATCTGACCTTTTCACGCCATGTTACAGCTACTGCTTCCTTCCATTCGGGTTGCAATTTTATCATGCTGCACACCTAAGCATACGGTTTCTGATATCCTCTCTGCCTACTCCAAACATTCTTCTCCAGCATCATTCAGGTTTTGATTTCCTTTAGAAATTACACGTAAAACTAATTTGCATAATCCCTTCCTATTTCAGGTAATACAACTTTTTTGTTTATTTATTTATTTACTTCCTTTGGACAGGAACACTTCCCATTAATGAATGCACTAGCTATCAAAGGTTCTGTTAAAGACATCTTCATGGTTTTTAAGCTAATACAGTATAACCTGAATTCTCTGAATTTCCATTCACATCAAGTATGATTACTGCTCTACTGAGAAGCAGTTTTAAGAGGTTTGGTTTACAGTTTACCTCTCTATCAGGAATGGTCAGTTTTAATTTAATTTAACTTATTAAAGTTCAGGGTTTCTAAACTGAATTTTCTTTAGAATACTGGTTGAAAAGACTAGATTATTATTACTATTGTTATTATTTTTTTTTTTTTGGTACCGAGGATTGAACTCAGGACCTTGCACTTGTGAGGCAGGTGGCGGCACCACTGAGCTAAATCCCTGGCCCAAGGCTAGATTATTTTAAAGAACAAGGAGGATGAAGAGAATTTTCATTTGATGGGCAAGAGAAAAACAAAATCCATTGTTTGTTCTAATGAGAAGTTGTTCTTCTTTCGAATCACATCACTGAAGTGTTCAGAGAAAAAAAAGATTCTTCTTTCTAAATAATTATCATTTAATGACAAGTAGATTCTTTGGCATTTTAGTTTTTGAAAAAATCCCAGTAGTATCAGTTAATTAGTTCCTTCCTTAATCTAGCTATTTTTCAAAGGAGAAATAAGAAGTGTACTAAATCACATGTACTTATTATGAAGAAATCATGTTATTTAATTATATAAATTATATATTATTTAAAAATCTCAAGGTTTTTAAACAGAAAAGCCAGTGGCAGAGTAGCATATCAACCTTGGTCTTACCCTTTAATTTCAAGGCTTCTAATACCTTTGAATCGGCTGTCACATCACTCACTAGCTTGATTTCAATATTTTGTGATGTCAGTTGGAGCAACTTTTCAAAAAGACGTTGACCCTGGAAGAAAATATTCAAAGACAAAGAAAGTCAGAAAACAATTTAGCAAATCAATGCAATAATAGATTCAGGGCTATAATGCAAATCTACCCTTCTTTTACTTTTTAAATCTGTAGTTATTTACACATAAAGAGGCAGTAGAAAACACTGAAGAGTTTCAGAAAGAACTAGATTCAGCTGGTTTTCCAAGTTACGTATTATGTTTCTTTTGTTTTTCTGGTACCAGGGATCAAACTCAGGACCTTGTGCTTGTCAGGCAGGAGCGGTACTGCTGAGCTACACTACACCCCCAGCCCTACAAGTTATGTTTCTTAACCTCACTAACCTCAAGTTTTTTCTCTCCAAAATGTAGATGATGATAATATTTATTTTAAAAGGTTTTATGAGATTAAAACTTAGTTACAAATATCTTTTAAGTGTCAGCTATTATGGGGGAATTATGGTTAATAATCAGTGATTTACCAGAATTCATTCTCATTTAAAAGTTGTTTTACTGAATTCAACTAATATTCTGGCTAAAAATAACTGAAATAACAAAATAAAAATGGAGGTTTTTCTTATAAAATTTCACAAGCTTATAAATTTTATAATAAGTCTCAATCTCGAGGAGACTGGCAATAATGGTAGGTCCGCACACATTACCTTACCTCCGGGAAGGGATTGCAATATTACCCCACTTAATTTCCTGTCTGTGTTTTTATCGAGTCTCTCTCCTCATCATAAAAGGGAAATGGTCTTCCTTTATTGACTTTTTTTTTTTTTTTTTTGCTATTGCACCATAAACACAAATACCTTCAAGGACCAGATAGGTAATGGTTGGGTCTTAATGGCTCCCAGGTGGCAAAATCTTAACTTACTTTGATAAAAATGGGTTGCTGATAATGGTTATTTATGAAGGATTAGTTGACTAGGAAGACAGAATGGACAAAATGCAGATGTGACCAGTGAGTCCTGCAAGTCAGCCTTAGGAAGGAGAAGAGCCAAAGATTAGAGCCTAAAGCTTTGGATATCAGGAGGAGCAGCCCCCTGGGCCGAAGTCCGTGTACCTGGGGTGTTGGAGGACAGAGCTGGAGCTGAACCCTATGCCATGCATCCTGTTGACAGAAACTAAGACTGCCCAAAGTGGGGCTCATCACAGGCAACTAAATTACTCCGCATCCCAGAGCCAGGAGGCAGCCTCACCCCAAACCAGGTACCCCTGCGTGAGCGCACCTGGCAGTTAGACACACCTTCTCCAAGAAGGTGAAAGAGGCAGGAGTGGGGAGGGGAAAGGAGAAGACAGAGAGGCACACAGAGAGACAGAAAAAGGACAGAGAAGGACAAGGCTTTGGTGATTTCAGGGTCAGAGTGAGTTTCACAGTGATTAGGCAGAGGTGAGGGATTGAGCAGGGAGAGCCTCGGCTCCTGCTCCACTTTGGGGCTCCATGGCTCTTCAGGGTCCCCACCAACGTGGCCCCTTTGGTTAGCTCTGGTCTTCTCCCAGGAGTCCCCTCACTCCTGGCACTCACTGCTCAGGCTGAAGTCTGCACAGCCCAGACAATTCACATTTATAGGAGTTGTATTCCTCCCATTCACACAGACTCTGTTATGTCCGGGGTGACTGTGGGCCAGCATTCTTCAACAAAGCCACTTAGTTTTGCTCCTATGTGCTGATTGCTTACACCAAGAAATCTTTACAAATGTAATCGTAATGGTGGCAGAACTCCTGTACGGAGGCTTGAGGTGAAAGCTCTATTAAATCTCCCGTCTTCAGTCTGTCATTTTGGCTCCCACATTCAGAATGTAATAACGTCCAGAGGTATGAGATACCTGCTCCGCACAGCTCTGCACTGAGGCTTAGTGCTCTCTAACTTAAGCTCACTCATCATTTTTTAATAAAGAAATAGCAAAAGCCCCCTTAGCTTTTAAACATCAGCAATTTAAACTCTTGCCCTTTCTGGTGAAAAACATTAGCCAACATCTCAAGCTTAAATCATCTCAAAGACAGTGGCTCCAGCATGCCGACCTATTTTAAGTCAAGTTTTTTTATGAGCCTGCAAAACCCTTATGATGCACAGTCGGTCCGGGTAGGAAGGTATGCCCCAAGGATAGAGACCCAGCTCAGGCCTTTGGTGACTTCAGAGAGGGTGCTTAGTGACCCGTGCAAGCCCATGTGGGGAGACAAACTTTTTCCTCCACCCCAGTGAACCTCCCAGCTCACTGGCTGTTCTCATGAATCAAACTGATAAAAGACAGATTAATGAGAGAACAATGTTAAATTTAAATCACACACACACACGCACGCACGCACGCACGCACGCACGCACAGGTATGGGAGCCCAGGAAGAAATGAGGTTCAAGGAGGCGCCCAGTGACAGAGGCTTCTAACCATTTGAGTCTGAACAGTGAAAGGGGTCTCAGGCTTCTAGACAGAGAAAGCCAGGTGAGAGGAAATGCACTGGAATTTAGGGCTGTCCTGCTACCCCCCAGTGAGATAAGACTCCTGAGTTTCTCAAGTGATAGGAGCTGTCAGTAGGAATAGCTTTCTTCCTAAGATGGAGACACCTTTTACAAATGGAAATTTCCCTTATGAATGCAAATTTCCCTTAAAAAGGGGAAATACATACTCTATTGTTAGGCAGTTAGGGAGCGGTAAAAAGTGCTTCTTGTATGTGCTTGTTTTCAACTGCTTTTATCTCAAAATAATGTATATGCCAGAGAGGCATATTTTAGGGTGCGTATTCTTATCCTTTCAATTCCAAGAAAGTGGAAGGGTATAAATGCTGCCTGTTTCTGTTGACTCAAAACAATTGCTGGAGAAAGTAGTGCGCTCAATGTAATGTGAAGGGAAAAAGCACAAATATCAAAAAGAGATAAGAAGAAAGTCCTGCTTGATAAAATGACTTCTAGGGATTATGGAGAACATGGTGGTGGTTTTCAAACATGCATCAGCAGTTGAATTCTTTGCTCAAATGAAAACTTAAGCCTGACATTTCTGCTTTCCTTTATGGAATTCCCAGGTTGCAGAGAATACAACTGGAAAGCCACCCCCACCTGATCATTGTAAAGTATGCTGTAACTTTCAAAATGAGAGTGAGTCTCAGAGGTCAATAGATACCCAATCTCCTTATCTTTATAAATAAGGACAGAGATGTATAGGAAAATCAAGTGATTTGCTGATGGTCACACAGCTTAATACAGGCAAGTTAGGCCTAGCACCTATGTCTCTTCTCCTGATTCTGTGTAGTTCTCTCCACATGACCATTTTGTTAGGTTAAAGCTGGAAAAGGAAGGCGCACTCCGGAAAGTAAATAACTCCCAAGTCTCCATCACGCCTTCCATTCTAATTTAGGCTCCCTTTCACACTAGTAAGCCATGCAGTGCGGGAGTGGAAGGGCAATCAGTTACCCCAAGTCAAGTTCTGGGGAGGACAGGGTCCTGAAGAATGGTTCTCTGCCCCACAAGAGCTTCTAACAGAAACTCCAGGAGGCCAGGCAGGAGCCCAGGCAGCCTCCCTCGGCCTGGGGCCAGGAGAATGAGGTATTGAGGGGGGGAGGTGCTCTCCAATGGGGCACTGGTAACCATTTCATGTTACACTTCCATTCTACCTTCCTTCACCTCAAAGGAAGAAGCCACCAATCACCTGATAAAATTAAATATCAATGCATTTAAGGGGACCCGGCAACAAGAGAAGATGCTCGAATGCTGCTTGCACCATAGTTTGGATTTTAAGTGTCCCTCAAAAATCCTTGTGTCACAGGCTCGGTGCCCAGCATGGCACTATTGGGAGGTGGTGGAGCCTCTCAGAGGGGGGTGGTGGGGGTTTTCCGGTCACTGGGTGGTGCCCTTGGAGGGGATTGTGGGACCTGGGCCCCTTCTTCCTTCTCTCTTTGCTTCTTCACCATAAGGTGAGTGGTTTTCTCTACATGCTTCCACCATGATGTGCTGCCTGCCACTGGGCCAAAAGCCAGTCAGTCAAGGACTGAAAACTCCAAAACTATGAGCCATTTTCTCTTTACAAGTTGATTACAGTGAAGGAAAGCTGAGCAACACAAACACAGTGGGTACCTGATGATGCAGACGGAACTGGAGCTAAAACACAGAATGAGCCTCAGGGACAGTCACGCGTGGCTGGGACTAACACTCTATGAACTCACTATGAGGAGTAAAGAAAGAGCAGGCTAGGGCCGGGGATTTAGCTCAGTGATTTTGCCGCCTGCTGTGCAAGCCCAAGGACCAGGGTTCAATCCCCGGTACCTAAAAAAAAAAAAAAAGAAAGAAAGGGCAGGCTGGCCATTGGCAGGGGCCTTAGCTGGTGGCCTGAGGACAAAATAAAAGAAATATCTCAAAGCATCCATGTGCATGTACACATGCACACACGCACACACAGAGGATGGGGGAAGGTTGATAAATACATCAAGAAGACATAACATGTGGATAATCAGTGTATTAGAAAAGAAAAATAGGCAAAAAGTAACTATTAAATAATAGGACAAAATTGTCCAAGTGGAGGAAAGATCTAAATCTAAGAAAAGTTGACAAGACATCTGAAGATCGAGGAACATTTAAGGTAGAGGGACATATTGAGAGGCATATTCTATACAATAACTGAACACAAAGGATAAAGAAACTCCTATAATTTTCTGGCCAAAAGAAACATAAAGTTACCTATCAAGAGAAAGAGACTTGAGCTAATCATGTGCACCACCAGGAGCTCCATGGTAGACAAAGACTCAAGCCCGAGAAAATCTATTCTTCTACTTCACCTGCTAAAGGGAGAAAAAGAAGCATTACAGATACCCACAGATTTTGAGACTACAGCGCTTCCATATCCCGTATGAGGAACGGATTTAAGGAAAGGATAATCAAATAATAAGTATTAATACCATCAAAGAGAGTGGAAAGGAGAAGAAATGCATGATGGGAAATAGTGTATAAGTGTTTGACACACTTGCTAAAGAAGGAGACTTAATAGAAGGCACACGTTATATAGGTCTACCAAGAATCTATTCTGTGCACCT